GATATAGAGGGTTTAAGGTTTAGGGCTTAGGATTTCGAATTTGTTGGGCGGAGTTTTCGGGTTTTCGGTTGGGTCTTTAAGACTTGGAGGGTGGGTTCGGGGTGTTAGATTCAGAGGAGTCGGTGCCTAGGGGTTAGGATTCAGGGCTTCTACCTGAACCCCTAAAGTAAGTAGAATAATGGTGTTTTGGGTTATGTTCAGGGTTTTTGTGCTATTATTTTGCTTACTTTGGGGGTTCAGGTGGGATGCGTCTAAACCCTAAACCCCAAACCCTAAACAATATACAGGCTTTGTAGTTGGCTTACTCCTCCAGCTTTGTTCCACTGTACAGAAGATCAATCTCAGAAAGCTTAGTCCGACAACTTCAGCAAGCCCCTTCGCCAACATCTAGTCCCCCTTAAGTATAGGGTTTAGGGTTTAGAGTTTAGGGTTTGGGGTTTGGGGCTTAGGGTTTAGAGCTTAGGGTTTTTGAGTAGATAGAATGCGATTTTGGGTATGCCATAATCAGGTCCCCATATGATACCCCATATTCTATCTACTTAAGGGGGACTGCAATGACATCTCAATCCCCAAAAGGATCAGTTGGATCTGCTAGAATCATTTGGGGAACTATGTTGGGACTGAATATTCGGGCTTATGTGGGGAATCCAACTTATAGATCCTCCCAGAGGTATTTTCTATTCAAAGCCTAAACCCAAAATCCATGAGTCAGACCAGACTGCATGAGCCATAGTCTAGACTCCTAATATTCCCCTTAAGAAGCTCCGTGATAGGAGCCTTATATAATCCTTTATGTGTACTATAGTCTAAACTCCTTAAAGGGTGCCTATAGGGGGTTATAGGATGCTAATAATGGGGATGCTTGGAGTTTAGACTATAGCTCATATGAGATTGGCCCCGCCTGCAGCTCATGCAGGGGGAGGGAATTATAAACGTAATGCTGAAATTAGTCTCTATAGTCCTCCTTCAGTAGAATGAATATGGGGTATATAGTGACGGTATACTGATTCTGGGCATTTCCATAATCTACTTACGGGGCACTAAACCATTAGCACTAGATTGCTGGGGCCTGTAGGCGGCTTGAGGCTGCCTATCTGCTACTCAAGAATTGATTTTGGGTTCTTACTTGGGCTTGGGCGTTTTGGGTATATAATATAATGGGTATGGGAGAACCGCCAGGATTGACGGCCCATACGAGCCCATACTTTGGACCTTAGACAAGACCCAGCCCCAAACCCCTAAACACTACACGTCTGAACCACATATCACTGAATCCCTAATCCTAAAAACTCAAATCCCGTAAAACTGCACCCCTAAACCCAAAATCAGAGACCCTAAGCCCAAAATTCTGAACCTTAAATTCTCAACTCTCAATTCTAGACCCTAAACCTTACATAACCCCATTCTAGTAGTTCCCATTTTCTTTTCCATTATCCCAAGATAACCCCAATATGACCACATAACATATTACCTATATATAACCCTGTATATTCCCCATATTCCCTACAGAACCCATTAGATAACCCATAATAGCCCTAAACCCTAAACCCTAAACCCTAAACATTACCCATAACAGCCTTGACTCCCAACTCTGCAGGGGCTGATCTCCAAAATCCCATCCCCGGCGCAAGACGCCGCACGGGCCCGACGCTTGCAGCTGGCGCTAGTGAAGTGAAAAAGCTGGCCCTGGTTTCGGGGTTTAGGGTGAAGGGTTTAGGGTTAAAATGTGGGATGAAGGAAGGTGGAGTGTAGGAAATATGCCCCACTATAGTAGAGTGTATACTAAGGATCCTTTGACCCACCTACCTTCATCACATCTTTTGAGCCCCCTGAGGTTGTGGCTTAGGGTCAGGTGGTGGATGTTTAGGCTTTAGAGCCTAGGTAAGGGATATAGAAGGGGTTTAGGGTTACGAACAAAAAGGGGAGCCCCTATACATAAAGGCCTCAACACGAAATGGGGGTCTGGGGGGTCCTATAGCTCTTGTTCGAATCAATCAAGGGCTCCTATTGAATTCCATAGACTCTTGCTGGGTCTAGCTTTCAAGAGAATAGGAAGGTAGGGTCCTCGACCTTTACTTTAAACGGCCTGGTCTTGACAACCTAGTAAAAGCCATTCCAATCTAATTCAAATCATAACAGATCTCTTCAAAATTAGTTAGTCGAACAGGGGTCCATAATAGTTTTCCAAAAACATGATGTTATTGGGGACCCCCGCACAAATCGGGCTTCAACGTTAGGGTTTAAATTTTGGGTTTAGGGTTTAGGATTGGTGGTGTCAGGCTTCAAAGTTAAAGGGATTGGGTTATTTTAGGGGTGTATTCTAGGTATGCACACGGATATCTCAGGACATGTATTTAGGTATAGGCATGTAGGGTTAGGTTTTGAGGGGTCTAGTTCTGTTTAGCGTTTAGGGTGCGTTGCCTGGCGTTTGGGGTCCGTTGCTGGGTGCTTAGGGCTATTACTGTTCAGGGTTTGAGGCTTCAGGGTTTCCAAGCAGGTTTGCAATCAGACTTTGTAATAGCATAGGTCGTACGATCATGTATCGGGTTTAGGGGATTATCAAGGAGAATTTTGTTCCCCCAAACCCTTGAATTAGGACCCTCCTAGGGTAAGATGCTGATGATAAGGTCCTTCCCCTAAAGGTAATGCCCCCTTGTTGGAAACAGTGGACTTTGAGTCGGAGGATTTCGAGTTAGGTAGGGCTTTCTGCTTTGTTTAGGGTTTAGGTTTTAGGGCTTAGGCTTCGGGCTTCAGGGTTTGCAGGGCTTGTTGTCCTGTAGGGTTAGGGGACGACCCTGCTGAGGGGGTTGGGTCAACTACTGGAATCTAACGCTTCGCGCGTACGCTTAGGAAGGTGATGTTTAGGTCGTGGCGTCTACCGGCGACCCGGCAATCTCAGCGCCTAAGCCCCAAAATGTGTCCCTAAGTCGTAATTACTTCCTGAACTCCAATCAACCTCAACTGTCAACCCCTCAATCCTGAAACCCTCAATCCTCAACTCTTTAACCCGAAAACCCCAATCCTAAATCCTAAAGCCTCAGGCCTTTAACCCTAAACACCAAACCTGAAACCTTAAGTCCTAAACCCTGAACCCCAAATCCGAAACTCTAAGTCCTACCTATAGGTTGGTTCTACTAGTTATTTTTGGTTTCTGTCCTGAACCTAATTCTTTCTGGTTGAATGATTTTTCTGGTTTTTTGTTATTGTCTATTCTGGCGTTTGAATATACTCTGAGGAGGCCATATATATAAACATGCATGTTCAATCAATTTTCATTATGTTTGATTGTTATGTATTGGCTTTGTGGGTTTTTTTCGTAAGATAATCTATGATAATAATATGCCAGCATTGCACTTGCCTGCACTGCATTGCAAGCATGCATGCACTGCCCACTTTGGATTTTCAACGCCCACATCGTGCTCATGCGGTGCCGGCCTAAGTTGCTGCACATCGCCATTTCTGGTACGTGCTCACAAGCCATCTATCTCCCGTACGGAATGCTACAGTGCTTTGGTGACAAGACCTTGACATCCTAGAAGTCACCCCAACATAGTCCTCATCCATTTGGGTGGACCAGATTGCTGGGTTTATGGAATACTCTTGACCCTCATGCAAGACAAGATCATCATGAAGGTGCAACATGTAATGGTATTTCGGAGTCAAGTTGAAAAACAGTTTGCGCTGTCCGAAACACAACTTGGCCGCAGCATAATAGTGGACCATGAAAGAGCCCAGGTGTTCAGCTGCCTTGTGCGTCTCTGCAGTGCTGAGCCAAACCCTGTTCTCAGCCGAAAAACAGAGACGGTGAAAAGCGTCCATGCCATTCCCAGCCGCCAGGGCAGACAACAGAACATCATTCAGCGACCACGGCATGGACAAGAAATCCATCAACCATTTCAGAATTAGCCGGGTGTCGGATCCTTTCCTGAAATATTTGCGCAAGGGAATGCTGGCAAAACCTATGGTAAATCTTTTGGGAAAGAAACAGAAATCAAGAAAATCAACATGGAACCAAGACACATGCTTGACTCAGGAAAGCTTGTAGGAGTTTTCCACCTGAAACCATCACGGCTGAAGTGCTTGATGTCTGGGGTTTCCCTTGTCATGCGGCAGTAGTCCCGGAAATCTCGATAAGCTTGATTCAAGCGAGATGGAATGGAATTGCCTCCATCTGGATCCGTGAAGAAGCCCAATGAAACAAGGTAGCAAATCAGGGATGCAACAAACGTTCTTGTTATCCCCAGGTTGCTCAGGTGGAATAAATCTTTCGCAAGGAAAATTTCCTCAGTGCCACCAGGTAAGTTGTGCATGGGCGAGGTTGTTCCCCATGGCTTTATCATGTACGATGTGCTTCTCCATGTGGCATTTAGCCTGAGGTCAGCGAAGTCAATTTCGTACCCATCAGCCATACACCGACAGCACATAGGGTTCGGGAAATTAGTGAAAGATCGCTCCAAGTGCCAAATCTTCGCTTGCGCTGGAAGGTCTCCCTCTTGCCGTAAGAAGACCAGAAAAAAATTGCCACATTCATACGGGCCTTGCACCCCTTTCCAATAAGCTTCCAGGGCTTCGGAAACGAAGCACTCCATGATGTCATCCAATGTTTTGTTGCCTCCTTTGTAGCCTTGGTTGAAGTCCTTGTACACATCTGAATGGATACAGCTATAGAAGAAACAGTGGAACGCACTCCCAGGTGCCCGCTTTATGATCGGTCCCCACGAGATTTGCATGATCCCGCTGCGCCTGACACCAGTGCCTTCATCGCAGTGAAGTCTACAAGGGATGCATCTTCTGAGGTCGTTTGCGTGATCTGTATAAACAGGATGAGTAGGCCATGTCCATTTGAACCGCCCCCAAAACGTTTCCAAGCAATCCTCGAACATAGCCACTTCAGTGATTGAATGCCCGCCCAACAATTGCTCAGGAAATCTTTGCAGTACCTCTTCGGAAAATGCAACCAGGGGCAAATAGGGATGCTCGCTCCCCCCTGTTGGGTATTCGACCAGCGTGGTTGAAATCTTGGTGCGGAAAGTGAGCCCCAATTTGTAGACATACTTTAGAAAGATGGACTCCTTGTCACTTTGGCTTTCATGAGCCAATCCAAGTTGCACAAGAACGGCATGACCTGGCTCCCCCGGAATCATCAGCCTTGCATTCTGACAAGCTATGCGACTTGCATTTGCAGCATTGCCATCCTTGGATAAGATTCACTCAGGATGATAGGAAAAATTGCACCTGCCCATTTTGCAGCTCAGGCGCTACATATGTGCGTAAGACGTTCTGCACCACGGCTGCACCTGCGAAGGGTCGTAAAAATATTTATGCAAGTGTTCCCACAGTTGCAATTGCAGGCATGCGCTAGTGCCAGATCAGGTTTGCATCCCGCATAGCAGTGCAAGCAGGCATATATAATGATATAGACATGACCATCTATATATATGTATATTTATACACATATATATACATAAGTATGTTCCTATATACACCTTATATCTGAGATAATCAAATCATATGGTGCTGTAGTGGCAGGCATTGTTTTCACCCCAAGCTCAGGACTGTGTGGCGCAGAATCATCAGCTGCAGGCAATGCCGGGCAGTCACACATACGCACTACAGAAGTTCAGTGGCAGTCATCTATAGGGGCAGCATCTTATTTGATATGAGGAGAACTGCATTCAGGCAACAGGCAGTGCGAGAGGTGACACAAAACTGCTGGCAGCATATTACAGGTCGTCGCATTGATCTCACTCCAAGTCAGCCTCTGGCTTCGGTTTGCCTTTGTTCTTGGCTTTCGCAGGTGTCTTCTTGAAATGGGTCCTGAGCACGGACAATGGCGAGAGAAAGACATCAGGGGACTGCTGGCTGCGTATTTTTATGTAAGTGCGAGGCTTGACTGCATTCAGCTGGTTGGTGAAGCGCACAAGGGCTGATTGGACTTTCTGAGTGGTAGCGGCGTAGGCTTCCTTGCACCTTAGCTTTCATTATCTGTAGTCACCCTTCTCAAGTGTAAAAGCTATATATATATATATATAGGCACCCCAAACCCAAATGATTAAAATCCGTTAAAGCAAGATGCGTGTGTCCTTGGGCCTCCGCATCACAGATATCCTTGTAGAGCTTGTTCAGAGCATCTGGGTTCAAAGGAGATAACAACAAATCAGGGGCACAGATTGCAAACATTACATGCGATAAGTGATTTAATTCAGCAAGGGGCCCATTTCCTTCTCCATGGCTTGCACGTCTTCCCTCAGCACAAGAACTTATGCAAGGAAATACACCATCACCCTATGACCCCAGAATATGCCAAAATCATAATGCGCCAAAGTGCTCAGCTCCCTTGGGCTTGTCCTTCTCCAAACGATCCATGACTTCGCGGCGTGCTTGCCGTTTGGACAATAATGTCTTCTTGAACTTGTTCACGAACTCTGCCACGGTTTCTGGCCCATCCAAGGTGGGAAGACCAGCAGCCTGTTTTTTAGCTGGCTTGCCGCCTCCTTGGCCGCCTTGGCCACCTTCATCCTCGGAGACCTCAATGAGATCACCCAGGCCTTGCGGATCAAAGTCATCGCGGAAGACACCTGACAAATTATGTATTGAAACATCTCACATGAAGAGTTGAGAATCATCGCCTGACGTGTGCATCAGCTCCTCAAGCTCTCTCATCTTCTCGGTGCCTTGCCTTATAATACCAGAGTCTGCAATATCAAATTAAGACTTGCACATTACACTCTCCCATCCCACCATATATAACTTGATATGCCAGGTGACTCCACTGTTTCTTTCGTCAGAACAAGGTACTTGCGCACGCCTTCATATATGCATTTCTTGTACAGCTTCTTGGCCGTGCAGTGCTGTATAGCACCAGCTACTTTTCTCCTCAGCAACCATGGCAGAAATCCCTATGAACAGGAGAATGCATCAAACAAGTACAACCACTATGTCACTTATATGTGCAAGCAGGATTCTCTGACCAGCCACTTTTTTTTCATTTCCTCCTCCGTCAACCATTCGAAGGCAGAAAGTCCCCGGGACCATTCGCGAGAAAGCTGCTTCAAGGTGTACATTGCCTCCAGGCGGTCCTGGTCACAAGTAACACACTGCAGGCTGAATGTGAATGATTGCAGCGACGATAAGAGAGAGGGAGACAGAGCGAATAGTAGACAGAGGGCTGAGAGCTATAGAAGTTGCAACAGAGCTAAAAGGAGAAGAGATATATGTAACATAATGACATATATATATATATATTTGTGCATTTATTTATTATATCAAAAGAAGAATAACAGCAATATGAGTGCAGCATGTTAACAAAACATCGTATCATATTGTTTCCTTGTTCTCTTGAAAGCTGCCGCCAGGTTCGAAGCATTTCTCCACGAACTCCTTGACCAGCTTGCCGCGGGCTTTTCCTCCTGCAGGCAGGGGGACTAATGCACACATATCAAGTCTAAGTCCATATATACATCCCAGCATATATGGCACTGCAGTTGTACAAAGGAAAGTCCTGCACGCCACTTTTGAACAACCTCTTCCGATACCTTGTTCTTGTTGGCGTGAGACGTACACAGCCTATAGAGGAAGGCCCAGGCTGCAGGGCAGGTGAGCGAGTTGTACACCTGATGCTCTACTTTCCTTGGAAACAACATCGGGCAAATATGAATTGCAGAAACTTATATAGATTGACATGACACATCTTACTCACCAGCTTTGCTATCTTCAAGTGCTAGCCAAAAGTCTGCGGCTTGTCGCCCATCGTATTTCCTGTTGTATCTTGCCTTGCCTGCTCAGCCTGACGTGGCCCAGCACTGTCCGGGGCAGAGGGTGCACCAGGTTGATGCACATGCTTTGTTGGCGCTTCGCTCGGCTTGCCAGCAACGTAAACAGGTTGTCCCGGAAATGTTGCCTCTGGGGGCGGCGGGCCAGGGGGAGGCGGTGGCAGTGGCAAAGTACTTGATGATGGAACCCCGCCCACAACGAACTGAGCAGGGCTGGCAACTTTGGCAGGGCTTGCGGCTGGAGCAGGGCTTGTAGCTTTCGTCACGGGGAACGGGTTAGTAAGAAACTGACGCTGCAGGCATGTGTCCACGAGAAACATGTAGTCAGCCTCATCAATCTCCACCCTTTTTGCCCCAGTCTTATTGCCAGCCAGCAAATTCGCATGGATCTTCAGCAGCCTCTGATTCTCAGGCGTGAGCTGCATAGCTTGGCTGCCCTGAGGACTTCACGGGCTCTTTGCGAGGAGGGGTGCTGACCATGGTTGGCATGGGCATCGGGTGGGCTGGCATTGGCACTGCTGGGTAGGCTCCCATTGCAGGATCATTGGAGGGGCGGGGAATACCTCCGAGCACAAACTGCGGTGAAAGCATTGTTGGGGGGAATGGGTAGCCCATAGAAGGTGGCGGCGCCATAGAAGGTGGCCGCGCCTTAGCTGCTTGCATTCGCTGTCCAATCTTCTCCGGCAGCTTGGGGACAGGGCCTGTGGGAACGCCAGGTAGAGGTACACTGTCTTGGGGAGGTGGCGGCGGAGGCCTGGACTCCACACAGCTTGGGGCAGGTCTGCCCAGGAAGCTAGCTACACTACCCTTCGGTCGGGCCTTGGCAGGGTGCCCTGTCGGCCCCAGCAAAACATCATTGGTCTTGGGCTTCTTGTTGGGGGGGCTTGCAGGTTGCGGAGACTTGCCCTCAGGTGGGCTTGGAGCCTTCGAAGAGCTTCCAGCACTAGACACAGCAGGCGACGGCGCCTCCACTTTGAATCCCATTCTCTTCAAAGCATGCACCATGTTGTGCACATCATCACCACCCGCTGCGGAAGCTGCCGCAGGTTTCACCTTGCCACTTGGCAGCCGCTGGTCGGTGCGGCGATTTTGGCCTCTCCTCCTTCACTGGCACTGAAGCCTTGCCATTCCCTGCACCACCATCTTCAGGCATCCTTGTTGTTCCAGCGCCTTGCTAGAAACAGAGCCAAACTGAAAAAGCTGCAGGCAAAAGCAATGCAGGCATGCAGGGCAACAAGAAAAATGCCAGGGCACCATGCGCTGTATGACCATGCACACCGTGCGAAGTTTGCATCAAACGTGTAACAAGCTGACGGGAGTTTGGTGTGTTATCCAGCTGCCCTAGCAGATGTCGTGTCCTTGGCGAGAAGGATAGCAGCACTTCCGAGGGGACCCAGCTTTCTTGTTTAACCTTAGGCTCACCACAAGGCAAGACATATGAAGATCGGAGTCGATCACGATTGCTATTATGTATTGTATCCCAGCGGCGCAACTTGTTGGAACAGGCTTGGCAGGTGGCGCTTGCATATCGAAGTAATCACCAGCCGCTCTCAAACTGGCACAGCTCCACAATCGAGACCCACACTGTAGATCCATATTTGCTGCAGTTGCACATGCGCATGTTTATTGCACAGGCAGACAAGGTAGAAATAGCTTCCAAAATCGCAGCAGACCATGATTCATCTCTCTATATATTTCTATATATTGTCATTGTGTATTTGTATGAATATATATATATACATACGTATAGATATCTATATGTATATTTATCTGATGTGTGCATGGTATATATATATACTATTATTCCATATACACCTATCGATATATATATATACATACACTGTGCACATTATATATGTGCTTTTCCTTATGATCTCCAAGATGTAGGGGCTTTTGCAACCTTCGAGACAAATACGCAATATAATATGATTTTAATGTATATATACTTCAAGCAAGCACACACTGTCTGGACAGGCGGAGAAAATGCACAAGCACATGGTCACGCAGGACGCTCACACAGATGCAGAGGCTGGGGCTGCATAGCGTGCACCTGCTTCCTGCCGGAGACGATTGTACTCAGACACAGGACCTGCAGGATGAATGTTGAAGTGTATACTATATATATATATAGCAGCTTTTGCAGGAATCACTTATCGAATATATTGTGCATGGTCTGCAGAATGCATCGTACAGATCTAATTGATTTTGCAACCAATTCTTTAGGGTTTTTGGTTATTGGGGCGTGGGGCTTTGCAACCAATTCCTTTATATTATTGGTTGATTGGTTTTCATGTGGTTAC